CCCAGGCCCTCAAAGGGGACCCCAGAGGAGCCAGCTGGTTGAGATCCAGGGTGCTAGAGCAACGGGACAAAAGGGAGGCGGGGGGGGGGCGAGATGGACAGACTAGGAAACTGTATTGGGGGAGGACTGGTTGGGAGGGGGACACTGCATTACCATGCAGGAACGGAGGAGGAGTGCAGAAAATAGGGGGGGACCGATGTGGATCGCGTACAGGGGTAGCTGGGGGGGTGAGTTACTCACGGAAGAGAAGCATGCTGGCATTGGAAGAGCCCAGGCTGTTGGAGGCGTAGCAGGTGTAGTTTCCAAAGTGCTTCTCTGTGACATTGTTGAAGAGCAGCAGGGAGCGTGTCTTCTCGTTCTTGATCTGGAGGGTGCTGCCACTCTCCACCCTCCTGGGGATGGGGGGGGGGGGGCAAAGCCACATGAGGTAGACACAGCTGTGCAGGGCCGACCTGCATGCCTGCAGACCTGGCAGACGCAGGCAAGCCATGCGCCACAACCGCAATACGGATGATGTTCAGGGACAGTAAGCACTAAGGTCTCGGGAAAACGGGGGCCCCAAACAAAAAAAATACACCTATAAAGTCAAACACCTGGCACGATGCCACAGAGGGAAATGGCATGTGTTAAGTGCATTGACTGCAAAGCATATTTAGGGCATCTACCCAGCAGGCCGGCTCTGCGGTGTGTGAACTGCTCAGCGGAAAGAGCGAGACTCTCAAAGCTGAGCGGCGGGTCGGGGGGGGGGGGGGCTGGCAGAGAGTGCCACTTAGCAACAGCGAGAGAACCAAGCGTATGCGGGGGAGGCCGCAGGGGCCAGTGGGGTCTTCCAGAGAGTCGGTGCCAAGGGCCTACCTGCGGTCATCTCTGTACCACTCGAAGGTAGCAGTGGGCACTGCCATGGCCTCACAGCGCAGGATGGCGGCCTTGCCCAGCTGTGCCGGCATGTTCTTCACGTCTGTGATCATGGGCGGGTCTGAAAGAGGACAGACGCTTCAGAGGAGCGAGACCCTGGCAAGACCAGAGCCCAATCAGAGCACAATCAGCAGCTGGTGACCACCCCCACCCCCCATGGTGCATTTTGGGAGGAACTCACAGTTGACGGTAACACGGACACGGCGGGTATCAGGTGGGGCCACGCCATTGTTGGTGATGCACTCAAACTCCTCCGCCTGGTGCCGCTTGATCTCTGTGATGTCGAGGAACTCGCCTTCACTCAACAGGTCATCTACAGAGACGGCAGGGGCGGGTCAGAGGGGCCATCTGTGATGTCATGGTGCCATCGGCTAATCAGGATCAGGTGGAGGACTATGCCGCTGAAGCACTGGTATGCAATTGGCTGACAGGGGGTAGTGCAATGCCTCAAAGATCGTCAGACTGAAGATGTATCACCGTGCTCTTTAAAAAGGGAGATGATCCATCAAACAAGGCTCTGAGTCACGGTGCAGAGCCGCGAGGGTCAGCCACGTGACCCTGGCATGGGGGGGGGACAAGCTCTGCTATGTAGGACCTGGGAAGCTTAATCTCCTTTGAGGACGATGGGCTCACCCCAGGGGTATAGCTAAAAATTCTGGGCCCTTTGACAAAATTTAGCATATAATTTTATGTATCCAACATCGGATGCCCTGAAACTGCCAGGGTATCCTCTGCCCACCATATCCCTGGGGCCAACCTGCCATGTGTGCGGTCTCCATGGCGCGACACCCAGGAGCGACATGGTACTGTAGATCCGGCGCAGCGGTACACGGGGGCGGAATCTTAACGCGCACACAGAAACCGGCGCGGCGATCACTCATCTCATTAGCCGGAAAGCTCTGAGGAGCAGACAGAAAACACACTCCCCCCCGGGGGGGGGACACGGCTTAGTCAGCCGGGAAACGAGCGCAGAAAAGCCGGCAGCTTCAGCGGTCACGCCTGCATTGCCGTCCACGCCGGGAGCGACTAGCGGCCACCGGGGTTCCCTGTTTCTGGACACTAGGTGTTCAGGCTGTCAGAGTGTGTGTTCAGGCCTCTTTGCCGAAGCACAGACTCGCTGTTGGGGGGGGGGGGGGAGCAATCAGAATCTAATGCCAGCTGACAGCCTCGGATCCCGGCATTACGGCAATATGAGAACACAGGAGTGTTACGGATCACAGAGCCCTCCCTGGCGGCACTGGAGAGCATCCAGACGGTGCTGCACTGCAGAACGGTCACGCAATAAAGCATGCGCCCGCGGTGGGATGGGATGGGGGGGGGGTACTTATGGGCAGAACTGGTGCATTGTGGGATTAGTCAGTGCGATAGTGGGTGGAGTGATATTGGGTGCATTTTGAAATTCGTCAGAGCAAATGAAGATGGCTTGTTATTCCCAGGTGCATTATGGGATTAGTCTGTGTGAGAGTGCATGGGGCGTTGACATCTGACGCATTATGGTGGCGAAGCGTGGCTCTGGGTTCTTGGACTCTTTGACTGTGATCAGAAGGTCGTTGGTTTGGATCCTGTAGGCCAGCAGAGTGATGTCACACTTGGGCCCTTGAGCAAGGTCCTTAACCCCAATTGCTGCAGGGATACTGCCTGACCCTGCTCTATGATCCTCACTTGTATGTCACTTTGGACAAAAGTGCCAGCTAAATAAGTAAATGTGATGAGATTATTCAACATATGACAATGTCTGGTGCATTGTGGGATTATTAGTCAGTGTAAGAGTGGGTAGAGTGTTTGTGTCAAGTGTGTTGTGAGATCAGTCACCGTGGGAGCAGATGCACTGTGGGATTAGTTGTCAGTGTGCGAGTGTCGTGTTCACTATGGGATTAGCCTGTATGACAGCAGATGCACTGTGGGATTAGTTGTCAGTGTGCGAGTGTCGTGTTCACTATGGGATTAGCCTGTATGACAGCAGATGCACTGTGGGATTAGTAGTCAGTGTAAGAGTGTCATGTGCATTATGTGATCAGACTGCATGACAGCAGATGGAGGATTGATATTAGATACACTGTGGAATTAGTAGTGTGAGAATGGGCAGAGCGTTGGTGTCAGGTGACTTGTGGGAGTCAGCATGACATTTGATGTATTACGAGATTAGTCCATAACCCTGAGAGAAAGAAAGTATGCTGTAATTGTTCCAGTAAGCAACCCAATAGGTGTACTCTGAGCCTGAGTGCATGTTATTAAAGCAAACAGTCATGTTATGATGTTTTCTGATAATGCTTAATTATTACATGTTTCATGGTAATTCGCAGTCTTCACAACTGTAATTACTGTTCTAACGATGACCCAGATTACTGGTGCTGTTTCAGTGACACCGGAGCTGGGACGGGGGATTTTCACGGACGGTGTAATTTTACAGGCCGGGGGGGTCACCACTCACATTTGAAGTCCTTCCAGGTGACCGTGGGTTCTGGCCGGCCAACCGCCAGGCAAAAGAGGTTCACGTTGCTGCCCTCGTTGACTGTCACATCCACCGAAATGTTCACGATCCGGGCCGGCACTGCAACACAGGACAGCGAGAAACCCATGACCACCGTGGACCAGGTCACCCTGGAGAGCCCCCTGCTCTGCACAGGTCACTCTCAGGTGCTTAATACCGCGAGCAAAGGACACGGATACCTGGAAAGCCTGGGCCTTCTCCAAATTACAATTACACTGTCATTTATTTAGTTCAGCATTCCAGACACAGAATAATGTATTTTCCATTACAGAAAAAGATAACTTGAATTTTAATAGTCAATTAACTTTTTTCCCTCCCATAATCCTCTTTTATTTAGAAAAAAAACTCTATTCCTTTTGGTATCACTTTAAGAACAGTACTCCACAGTAATATGGGGAGAGAAGAATTTGCACAGCATTACTTGCTCATTACAAATTTCCTAAAAGCAGACATTGGCGGTGAATCTCAAGCCAAACTGCAAACAGCCCCTGGGCCCTGAGTGTCTCTGTCAGTGCACAGAATTTTCCCCTTCAGCTGTGCCTCCCTCATCTGCCTCCTCGCAAGTCCCTCCTACAAAGGTTTCCTATTGGTTGACCAAATTTGATGTGACATGTCTTACACTCCAATCGGCGCTCCTGTCTGTTGATATTTCTCTTAAACCTCCTCTTCTAAGCCGTGTACTAATTCTATGGGACCATCCTGCACTTGCTTTTGCTGGTGCATAGCGGTGTGTCATATGAACAAAAACACCACACACTTGTGATATCCCGTCTGGTGGGGCTACTCAACACAGAGAGATGGCCGCCTTCTCCATTTCACTTTCTCCTGCCCGCATGCCTTTCTTGGTCAGGTTCCGTGTAGTAATGCTGAATAATGCTGAGGTATCGATTGCCAGATTACAGGTGATCTTCTCTCTCCCTGACAGCCGATGCGCACACAGGCCAATTTATCAGGCAGTCAGTTGGACACCAATAAATCACATCGGTGAACAGCAGCCGGTCTCTTGCTGGCGCTGCTGTTGCCTTGGCGATCGACCCCACCCGGGGCCTACACCAGCGATTACTCATTTCGGCAGGCGGTGTATCGTGTCCCGGCATCAAACACCCCCCCCAACCGCGACCTTCTGCAGTCTCCTCAACCTCAGAGTCTTCTGCCTCCTCGTAGCTTTTACACTGACCATAAAACATTGTAAAATGTGGTTAGGACTAGAGCTGATCCAGGATCAGTGCTAGGTAGCATATTTAAATAGGACAGAGCCAGGACTCGTGACATGATTTCCAGAATATGTTTATAAAATTTTGAAAAACATTAGAAATATTCCATGTTAACCACAATCGATCAACTGCCATGAAACTACAGAGGGGAACTGCCCCCATAGTCAGTAAAATGAGGGGGGGTCTGGCTGATGACGGGCATCCCCATGGCCACGGCCCCCTCACCCCTCACCTTGGACGATTAGGTAGACATGGGCGGTGCGGGGCTGGTTGCGGGCCTGGAAGCTGCAGGTGTATGGGCCTTCGTCTGCCACCGCCACACGCTTGATCTGGATGGAGAAGTCGCTGTCGTTGCTGTTCACCAGGGAGACACGCGGGTCCAGCGACCACTTGTCCGTCCCCGTGAACAGGATGTTGGAGCGGTTGAGCCAGGCCTTCTTGGTGACCTCATCGTCGATTTTACACCTTGAGCAGGATTTCAGTTGGGGAAGGAGACGAGGCACATCATTCATTCTGCCACTGAATCCTTTAAATACTGTAGTTTGCCATGTGAGTAGTTTACCCCCCCCACATTTTCAGGGAAGGGGAGACTGTTTTTTTTCTTAAATTACACAGCATTTATGGCAATGAGGTCACTGTTCAATGACTGACATCATTCAGAGCTGATAAAAATGTCAGGGGACAGGACCCCGGGGTTACATGAAGGGGGGGGGGGTAATTTGCTGGATTTGCTTCAGGGGTGCCATGAAAGATGAGAAGTTAGAATGAGGGGCCCCAAAAAATTTTTAACATTATTGGATTGGTCTGAGTTGGGGGGCCAATATGATACGCGTTCATGAGGCCCAAAATCTCTAGTGGTGCCCCTGATTAGCTTGCTCATTCACGTCACATCCACCACATTCAAGTGCATGTGAACTGAGGGTCCGACCCTCCTGCAGTACCCATCTGCTCCACTAGAGGTCCCCAGTGAACCACTGACGGCACTACACACAACAACACTCATTATTACTGCAGGCCAAGTCATGGTGAGTTCAAAGAAATCATAAGATGGGGGGCGGAGCCTGCTTTTGGCAGGGTGTCACTTGTTTGGAGGAGAACAGCTCTGTGACGCCAGGCCCGGCGATGGCACAGTGCCTGGTTGGGGGCTAAATAACAGACTACTTGACAGACAGCAAATGCAGCCGATCACAGCAGGGGTCGACACGGCGATACTTAAGCGGGAGCAAAATTAATGTTTAATAGGGAAGAGGCTAACGAAGCTGTCTGGGAGGGGGCTGTCAGGAGTGGCTGGTTTGGGGCCTACCTCAGGATGACGCTCTCCCCCTCGCTCACCGTGATGTTATCCGGCAGGTGTCCGAATTCGGCGCCACTCGTGCTCAGCCCTGCGGAGGATGAGAAGGAACAACAGAGTCAAAGCGACACACTTAGAGGTCTGACGCGTGCTTCCAGTCCCTGTCGGGGGGTGGGGGGGTGTGTCTTGCCATTTTCTTGGTTGTTGATGTGATGCAGTAAAAATGCAAACAGACACAGGGTGCACAGCTGACCCACGGTGTATCTGAATGATGCCTGCCCCCCTGCCCCCCCCCTCCCCCCACCGGCTGGTGTGCGCCCCTGCACACGCTCACTGAACAGCGCCGATAATGAGCTGGGGGAAGAGGATTCACAGGGAGCCAGCAGAGCGTGAAATGAAGGGACAGCGGTGGGGAAGGGGGGATGGGTACAGATCACCCCCCCATGTGTGCAAACAGACCGAACGCATATGTACACGTGGAGTCACACCCTCACACACACAGGATCCCGCACCCTCACACACACACAGAATCCCGCACCCTCACACACACACAGAATCCTGCACCCAGACACACACACAGAATCCCGCACCCTCACACACACACACAGAATCCCACACCCTCACACACACACACAGAATCCCACACCCTCACACACACACACAGAATCCCGCACCCTCACACACACACACAGAATCCTGCACCCAGACACACACAGAATCCCACATCCTCACACACACACAGGATCCCGCACCCAGACAAACACAGAATCCCACACCCTCACACACACACAGGATCCCGCACCCAGACACACACAGAATCCCGCACCCTCACACACACACACAGAATCCACAGCCTCACACACACAAAGAATCCTGCACCCAGACACACACACAGAATCCCGCACCCTCACACACACACAGAACCCACAGCCTCACACACACAGAATCCCGCACCCTCACACACACACACACACACAGAATCCCGCACCCAGACACACACACAGAACCCACAGCCTCACACACACACAGAATCCCACACCCTCACACACACACAGAACACACACCCTCACACACACACAGAACACACACCCTCACACACACAGAGAATCCCACACCCTCACACACACACATAATCCTGCACTGTCACACACACACCCCTCGCACACGCATTGACCAGGAACACGCCCCCCTCGCTCTGTGCCAACGGCGGCACGGAGGAGCAGGTGCTCTCCACCAGGAGCCAATCTGTGCCCTTGTGCCGTCAGCCAAGCACTGCTCCGTGTCACTGCTGGGTCTCCCACCAACCCCCCATCTACCGGACGGGCAGCTTTGGAGGCGGCTGTCAGGACGGGCCTGCAAGGACCTCAGCGAGGTGGGGGGGGGGAGTCTAACGCGGGACGGGGGGGGGAGGGGGGGACCAGCCGGGCATCCGATCCGAGCAGGATCTGTGTCGGAGACGCGTCATCGGATAGAAAGCCATGAGTCAGCGCGCCATGTGACTGGGGGTGCTCTGCTAAATTAAGAGTCCTTCTTTTTATTGCGCCTCAAACTACGTCACATCTGACAAAGCAGTAGCTAGAAGACTGTGAGCAAATGTGTCTGTGAGCGTATGTGTGTGTGAGAGGCAGCACACCAGAGCGAAGCTTTCGCAAAGAACTATAATCATATCAGCGTCTGCTGCAGCGTAGCCTGGCTGGCCAACATCAGCACAACGCTGCCCCCCCCCCAGGGCGGGCAGGGGTGAGCGCCACCGTGATACATTAACGAGATGTGGCAGAAAGTTTGATGCTGCTTGGGAGACACATTTGTGTTCTTTGTTCGGAAAAACTTTGGCTGTGGCCCACGGGTGCGACACATGCTGGAACGAAGTAACCCCTCCCTGCACCCTGCGGACATGAAGGTATGTTAACTGATGGGCCGTGAAGGTCACCAGTCCAGAAGGCCAGCCCTCATTTTCACACCCCTGTGATCATCCTTGGTGTCACTGTGCCACGGACGGAGAGAGATTTCCGTATGTCCTGCTTGGTAAAGGACACGCCCCCCGGCTCTGATTGGCTCTCTTGTCCACTGGTTCTTTGATTCAGAAAAGGGGGGGGGGGAGTTCAGTATTTCAGGGGCCCAGACATGCCTTTTGTGCAGCCCTGAGCTTCTGAGTTTGACCTTCTCAGGATCTTTCAGCTGGTAGCCACATCCTGCACCAGAGGACATTAATCACTGCGAGACAGACAGGCTGCGAAGTCACCTTACCCTGGTCACCACATCACCTTCACATCTCCCCCTGCCCTGTAACCCCCCCCCCCCCCCCCCCCCCCCCGCCTGTTTCCATGGCAACAACCTCCAGTTTCTGGCGCTGAAAAGTGGAAACTGACAGGAAGTGTGAGTAGCCTCCAGGGGCGAAAGAGGGAGCGAAGGAGAGAGAGAAGGAGAGAGGGGGATGAGGGGAGAGGAGGAGAAGGCTTTGCTGGAAGCAGCAGAGCAGGTGTGGGGCAGAATAGTGATCAGGCTGCTTTTGTGTCTGGCCGCATGCTCGCCCCGTTTGGCCTCCCTGGCTTCCTGCGTAAACACACACGGTTTGTGGGTCTGGGCCAGTGAAACGTCCGATAACAAACTGTGTCTGGCCCCAAACGGGCGTCGCGCAGCAGTGCCGTGTCAGAGCCGGTGACCCTGAGCTGGCCGCCACCGCTAGCTGGGGATGGGCCAGCCGCCCATCAGGGGCCCCGGGCCCCGGGCCCCACGTATAGCTTTCCAAAGCCTGTGGGAGCAGCTCTGCCATCAAGGGCTTCCAGTGTTCCTCAGGCAGTCGGTGGGGGGTTATTATGGGGGATCTGTTCTCTCTCGCCCTCCCACCCTCTGCTCACACCCCCTGCTCTCTCTTTTTTCCCATCCTTACCATCAGCCCTCACGGCCTTTCACTTCTGTCCTCAGGTAACCCCCCTCCCATCCCACCACATTGCTCTATGCTTATTCGTCTTCCACAGTCCTATATTCCTCCTTCCCTCTTTCTCCTCATCTTTCTCCTCCCTCCTTTTTTCTGCCTGCCTCCACAGTCTTACATTCCTCCTCCCCCCTTTCTCCTCATCTTTATCCTCCCTCCTTTTTTCTGTCCATTTGTCCCTCCTCTTTTTCACCCCCCCCTTCTCTCCTCTTCTCATTTCACCTTCTACCTCATTTTCTTTAGCTGGTTTTTCCCACTCCTGTCTCCTTTCTCTCTTCTTCTCCTTTATCCTTCTCTCTCGTTTCTTTCCCTCCCATTTCCTCCTTTCTCCTTCTCCCTCCTCTCAGTCCCTCTTCCTTTCTCCTTCCCTCCTTTCACCACGTCTCCTTTTCTCTCCCTTCCTCTTTTCTCTTTGCTCCTTCTCACTTCTTTCTCCCCCACTTCACCCTCTCCTTTCTTTTTCTCCCTTCTCTTGTTCTCATTCTCTCTCCTCCTCATGTCTCCTTCCTCTCACTGTTTCTCCTCTTCTCTTTTCTCCTTTCCCCGTCTTTCTTCTGCTCCCTCTCATTTCTCTTTCTCCCTCCTCTTCGTCCTCCTCCCCTCTCACTCCTTTCACCTCCTCTTTTCTCTCCCTCCGTTTCTCCCCCTCCCTCCTTTCTCTTTCTCCCTCCTCTTCCCCCTCTGCTCTCTGACTCTCTCTTCCCTCTCACTCAAATCTGAAGAGTTTGTCTTTAGTAGGCTCCGTTGCCATGTGCGGCACGGATAATCCACAGACGGCTGACTTCAAAACGCATACGGAAATGAGCCCCGGCTCACGTGCGTGTGAGAGAGCAGACGGGCTGCTGCTTCCTCCTGCCTCGTGTATAATTCCCAGACAAAAGATGGGCCCGGGGTCGACGTTTCTCGCGGCAGGGACTGGTACATCAGGAGCTCCACCTGTGGAATCGGCCGAGCTTGTTTACCGCCAGCGCGGCTTGTGGAGTGGGTGGGTGTAGGATTACGTGTGTCTGCTCTGCTCAGCTTTCATGCCGTAAACTCGGAGTCATGTCGGGTTCAAAGCACACCTGTTGCAGACCGGACTGAGCTTCGGCAACTCCACTGGCTGAATATAAAAACAAGTCACGTTGAACCTCGATTTCCACCGGGGGGAATTTGTGTTACTGCACCACACTTTCCATTTCAGCTGAATCGCGATTGCAACTCAAACGTTTTTGCCAAAGTATCACTCAGGTAACAAGTTGGCAGCAAAAACTGAGACCGGCACAAATCGCATTGGACGGAAGTGCCACCAAATCAGACGCTAACCCAAAGGAGGTACATGAGCTGGGGATCCTCAACGGTGACAGTCAGGCAGCCTTTTGACCTTTGTCCTCTGAATGGAGTTCCGCTCTATAATCCCCAATTGCAGATTTGTGCCCCCAGCATGGGTCCCTGTCTCCCTGGCCTCACAATCGAACCTTTAATTGAAGATCCCATACCCCCACTTCCTGACTGAGGCTCTGCTTAATCCTCCCGTGAGACCACCTCACCGATGCCTCTCCATGCATCTCTCTCTCTTTCTCTCTCTTTCTGTCTGTATCTCTCTCTCTCTCTCTCTCTCTCTCTCTCTCTATTTCTTGATTTCTTCCCTCCTGATGTGAAACAGACAGCCCTAATTCTGCCGGCCCTCAATTCCCCACCCGGCTTCTCAGTCTTCCGCTGCGATGAACAAACCTGAGGATCAATTCCCCCTCCGGAGTGCAGGGACCCCCCTCGCCGACAGCCTGCCAAACAATTACCGCACACGCCTCACTCCACCACCCCGCTGGGCTCCCCCCCCCC